GGGGAAAGCATTGAGTAGATGGGATGGTGGTATTTGTGTTTAGTCGCGCGCGTTTGACGAAAAATATATTTTTGATAATATTCAGTAAACAGTTAATCCTAGTGTAAAACTACTAGGCATAAATATTTATTACTACCTAATGAACATTTTTTTCACTGAAAATTTTTCAGATAAACGAAACTCTTGAATTTGAAAATAATAATTTGACACTGTGCGAGAAAAAAAAAAATATATAATTTAACTTATAAAATTATCAGAAAAAATATTTTAATATTAAATAATTTATAAATATTTATATTTAATATTGTACAGTGTACACGGCAATAAAGGAACTGAATATTGTAACAAGATTACTGAGACTTGAAACGAGTATGGGACGAACATTGGTGTCCCATGTTGAGTGACGGCACTGGCATTGATATTGTAGATTAGGCGAGAAGCCTTCCAGCCTTCTGTGGCCGAGCGGTTTAAATGCGTGCGTTGAGAACTTCCGGTATGCGTTAGGGGCGGGGTGCGTGAGTTCCGATCCCACATGCGAGCAAATATTTTTCATTCTTTGTTATAAGCGTTTATATAAAATAATAAAATTGTGTGTTGTGTTGTGAATAAAAAATGTGAACATGTTTATAAATAATGTTAAAAGTCTGTTAAAAATCAAGAAAAAAATGTAACGATTAACAGAAAAATTGTCTTTTTTTACTAAAATTATTTTTTTAAAATTACTATTCAAATGATATTTATTGTTAGTAATATATTCTTATTTATATGAAAATAATATAATTATTACAAATAATAACTTATTGTCATTAAATATATATGTATATATACGCACATGAATTAAAATAATAACAATAATATTTATTATTATTATTAATAATTCATATATTCACATTATATTGAATAAACGTGAGAAACGAGTAAATTTGGGAACAGTGGAAGCAGTCTTGTTTCAGTCCTGCATTAGGCGTCCGCAGCATTGATTGAGCATTGGTGTTCAATGCTGAATCAAGGCTCGCGCTGCAGTCTGGAATCGGTGTTACATTAAAGCTTCGATCAGTCCTGCTCTCGCTGATTCACTCATGCTCAATCAATGTTGACCAATGCTCGGCCAATCTTTATAAAGCCTGAACTCGACGTCACTTCGCGCCTGGGTTAGCTCCCAAACGTGAATTTCACAGGGCGAGCGATTGAAGTACTACGATTGAAGTTAACTACGCTTGACATACCCATCTTTAAAACGATATATTGTCGAAAGTAATTGATATTTTTAACTTCTGACTTTTGCATTTGAAAAAGCAACATAAAATCTGTCGATTACACAGGTCAACAAAAAAAGACTTACTTTTTTTTTATGAGATAGCGGAATGGTTTCCTATGTATTTTTGGACGCTGAACACGATCCCGACTTCCAAAACTGCCCATCACGTCAGGATTTTGAGAAAAGTGGGGGTAAAGACCCCAAAAAAGCTTTGTTGAGGAATTTCAACATTTATTTTCTCTTTAACCTGACGTGCTAGAGACTTCCACAAGGTCTTAAATTAAAGCTTATAATGTGCACTAAAAGACCAATATCCATAAAATAAAAAAAAATAAAAATTTTTTTCAAAAAATGGGATTGAAGACACCAAAAATTTGTGTTTTTGGATTGCTTTAATAGACTTTTTGCAATTGCTTGGATTCGCATGAAAATGGTTACTTGGGGTTTTTGGGGTCACTGATTACGAATCCGATATTAGTTTGCAAAAATTAAAAAAGGCGGATTCGTAATCAGCGACCCCAAAAACCCTGAAATAACAATTTTCAAGCGAATCCAAGCAATTCTTAATTTTTACATCTGCCATCTTGGTTTCGCCGTTTTAAATTTTTGCAAACAAATATTGGATTCGTAATCAGCGACCCCAAAAACCCCAAGTACCCATTTTCAAGCGAATCCAAGCGATTGCAAGAAGTCTATTAAAGCAATCCAAAAACACAAATTTTTGGTGTCTTCAACCCCATTTTTTGAAAAAAAATTTAATTTTTTTTTATTTTATGGATTATGGTCTTGTAGTGCACATTACAAGCTTTAATTTAAGACCTTGTGGAAGTCTCTAGCACGTCAGGTTAAAGAGAAAAGAAATGTTGAAAATCCTCAAAAAAGCGTTTTTGGGGTCTTTACCCCCACTTTTCTCAAAATCCTGACGTGATGGGCAAATTTGGAAGTCGGGATCGTGTTCAGCGTCCAAAAATACATAGGAAACCATTCCGCTATCTCATAAAAAAAAAGTAAGTCTTTTTTTGTTGACCTGTGTTACCATAAAAAACTCAAATTGATTTTTTCGACCTAAGCCGTGTTTTATCGTGGAGAGTCAACGATTGAGGTTAACTACGCTTAACATACCCATCTTTAAAACGATATATTGTCGAAAGTAATTGATATTTTTAACTTTTGACTTTTGCATTTGAAAAAGCAACATAAAATCTGTCGATTACCATAAAAAAATCAAAATTGATTTTTTGGACCTAAGCCTTGTTTTCTCGTGGACAGTCACATATAAGTTTCAAATTTTTTCTACAATTTTTAAAAAATGTGCAGGGGTTGAAAAAATTTCAAAAAAAATTTTATTTTTTAAACTTTTTTGTCAAATTTGTTGATTGCTGCAATCTTTGTATAAATTATTAAAATTTTCAGTTGTATATCATTAATCTTAGAATTTAATAATCTTTCGAATGGTATATTTGTTAATTTTTTTACATTTGTATTTACAAAAAAATCCTGATTTAATGATTGGTATGTTTTTGGGCCGTGCGCGTGCAGCCGTACCGATAATTCTCGACGGTAGTGTAAATATCTAATAAAATTTTTACGGGGATTTAATTATTTTCGTAAATTCTTTTTAGGAATTCAATTATTTTTAATACAATTTTAATCGAATTCCTCGAAAATTTTTTATTAAAATTCGTGAAACATGCAATTATTCAATAAATTCTTATTTTTGTATTATTTTTAAATTGAAATGAATAAAATTTTAAATTAATTCTTCGAAAAATGCAATTATTATGGAACTTTTTATTAAAATTCTTCGACAGAATTCAATTATTTTTATAAATAATACAATTCTTCGAAGGTATTCAATTATTTTCAATAAAATTTCTTGACGAAATTTAAAAAAATGATCAGAAATTTGAGAATCTTGAAAATTTAAAAATTAATTATTAGGGGAAGAGGTTCGGTTGTGGGCATAGTTTCGTTTTTGACTCATAATTTGTGTCCTTGTAGATATTAAGCAAACATATGTATATGTATTTAAAGCTAGGGACCTTAGCTAACTACTGATGAAGAAACTAAATAGATTCCATTGACTAGAAAAATTTTATTAAAAATTCAATAAAGTGGGCATTTTTCTAACAAAGAAAATTTTGGTTCGGTTGTGGGCACTCTTGAAAAATCAAATAAAAATGCAAAAAAATTAACCAAGTAACTATTCATTAACTACGTAAGGATGATTTTATCTAATTTTGACATTACTTCCTCCCCATGTAAGGACATATAAGATTTCTAACACTGAACCTCAGCAGCACAGTTACTAGCTACGAACGACGCATAAAAATCAAAGTCTTGTTATATTAATTTCCGTAATAAACTACAAAACTTTTAAAAATCATAAAACACTATTAAATGTTTTAAGGAATTACTTATGATTATATCGACTACGATATTTCACAATTTGTCAAGAATAAGAGTGGTGTCCACAACCGAATCAATTTAGGTGCCCACAACCAAACTTTACCATCATTTTGAAACATCATGAAAAAAAATTTACTTGTGAACATGGTTGTGATACTTAGTATTGGAGCACAAAATATAACATATTTACTGTTTAAATACGCATTGAACTTATCATTTTAATTAATTCACTTCGATTTGTTGAATATTTAACAATGTTTAAAAATACATTTTTGTTATATTCAACGTGTTGAAAAATTAATTTATATATAGTAAAAAGCACAGTTGTCTAATCACTTTTGTATTCGCATCGATTACTACGTTTGGTCAAAACACACACGTGACATTTGTCAGATTAGAAAAATCTCATTTCTGTCAAAAGTTCTGCGGGGGTGTCCACAACCGAACCATGCCCACAACCGAACCTTTTCCCCTATTTTTTATTTACGAAAATTTTAATGAAATTTTATGAATGAAGTTAATTATTCTTAAAAATTTTATTAAAAATCTTCGAAAGAATTGAATTATTAATTTATTTAAATTTTGATATAATTTGTTTTTTTGAATTTAACAATTATTTTCAGTGCATTTTTAATTAAATTTCTTATAAGATTTCAGTTATTTAAAAATTTATAGTGAAGGAGAATAAAACGAAAACATTCGGACAAATAGATTTTAAAAAATAGTTTACTCCAACGTTTCTAAATCTTAATGATTTCCTCTTCAGGAACATGCAATTATTCAATAAATTTTTAATTTATTATAAGTTGTTAAATTTCAAAAAAGTTTGAATTTGAAATTTTTGAAAATCCTAATTCCTGTTGTAAAATAATAATAATTAAATATTCAAATAAAATTATTGATGTTTTCGAATAATTTTACAATTTCAAAAATTTCAAAAAGTATAAAAAAGAATAGATTTTTTGCGAGTTACACCATAAATTTCTCGATTTCAGTATTTTGAGGGAATAAAATTTTTATTTAACCCTTTGATTTTCATAAAACAATTATTTTTCCATGAACGTTACACTCTAAATCTGAATAAGTGAAGATTCCACTAATTTCAATTCAATGTACGAGTTTTCTTTGATGAATCAGTGGAATTTCACTAACAATCAGTGGTTTTTATTAATTCTCAGTGAAATTCTACTGATGAATTAAAGAAAACTTATAAAGACTTATTAAATTTTAAAACTTGTTATACTTATAAAGTCCAAAAGAATATTCTGATATAAATAATTCAGAATATTGTTTCTACTTTGAATTTAACTTTAATGATTATTTTAATTTACAGTGTGAAGCCGGTTTCTATTTATTGAAAACAATAAACGAAAATGGGGATAAATTCATTGAAGAACTACTTGATTGTGATGTTATGATAAATATCTTGGAAACCTTAAATTCTTCAAATCAAAAGTAAGTATTTTTTATTTATAAATTATATTCCTATTGAGATCGATTATTACATGTGTGTTATATTAAGGGGTTATACCTAATCAGGCGATCGAAAAAATGCAGTTTTTTTAGGATTTTTTTTTCAAAAGTATATTTATTTTTTAAAATGAGAGTTTTTGTATATTATTAAACATCTTTTACTGTATTAAAAAAAATTTTTTTATTTATAAAAATATTACTTTTTGTGACACTTATTAGCCGTTTCCTAAAGGTAATCGAAAAAATGTGTTTCGCGGTGACCAACATAACTTTTGACCGAATCATTTAATATATTGATAAGTAAAATTAATCAAATTTAAAGTAGGTATGAATAGTGATTTTTAAAGGGTTTTTCACGAGCTATAAGTTGGTGATGAAGAAAGTTGTTTTCTTTCAATTTGACCTTGAAATTCAAGATCAAATTCTTAATTTCAATATATCTCAAAATCGGTGTTTTTTTTTATTTTTTTTCTAACCTATCCCAATCAAAAGCTTACCTTTTTTCCTATGAGCCATGTAAAAATCAGAGTGGGGCCATGCAAATTTTTGAAGAAAATAATAATTTATCATAATTTTATATAGAAAATGATGATTTATAATTAATTTCTTCAAAAATTTCCATGGTCCCAATCTAATTTTTACATGGCTCGTACGAAAAAAGGTATAAGCTTTCGATTGGGATAGGTTAGAAGAAAATAAAAAACACCGATTTTGAGATATATGGGTGATTCTTCACTCAGTGGTCAACTTTGCTTCCCAACTGTTCCCTATTTAATAACTTTAACAATTATTTTATAATCTGCTTCAAACTTTTCCACAATTAATATTCAGCATGTTTTTTATTAATATTAAATTCGAAAAAAAAATTTATTTTAAACGAAAGTTATGACTTAATTTAATGACCCAAAAGTGCACTTTTCTCGATTCTCCACACAGAAATCATGAAGTTTAATATGGTTTATTTTACACAAAGTCTATTTTAATCTTGTTTTTATTTCTTCCATTCGAAAGTTCATCTCAAATAGTAAGTTTTCTTGTGTTGATTTCCAATTTCCATTAATAAATTTGTGTAAAAATACTTTTTTAATACCTTCCCCACTATTTTTTTATTTGGAACTGGAGTTTACATTTTCATGTGTTTTCTGTTTTTTTATTCACATTTTTAGTTCGATTTTACTTCCAATTTATATTATTAAGTTAAAAAGTTTTATTTATGTTAAATTTGCATAATGAAATAGCATTTTTAGATTTAAATTATTTAAATAAAGAAATTTAAATAAAATTATTTATTTAAATAATTTAATATCAAAGGACGTTCAAGAAATTAATATTTTTAGATTTAAAAATATAAAAATTACTAGTATTTTAGGGCGTATTTTAATGAGGTGTAAACTCCAGTTCCGCGAAAATCACCTAATTCTTAATTGATAAAGAAAATAAAAATAATAGTGATTTAGAGTAAGCAAATCTCTTTAATATTCTATAAATATTGTTTGATTTTATTCATTTTTATGAAATTAATGAATTTTTTTCTTTGACTTGTAAACTCCGGTGCCTAATTTCGATTCGCGTAATAAAAATGTTTTGTTTTTTATGAAAAAATGTTATTAACCTCCAACATATCAATAACAGGTGTGAGTAATGTAAAAATAAGTTTTTATTTATTAATTAAAGTAGTTACCCTGGTTAAAAAACCGGACAGATTTCGGACTAATCCAAAATTTGTCCGAAACAGTGCGATTTATAGGGGAGAGTTGTTAGAGTTGGGCATAGTTTTGACTTTTCTTCATAACTTCCCCTGTAGAACGAATTTCGCGATTTCGCGCATATTGTTGGAAAGATCAACTCAAATGCAATGTTTTTGCTGAACATTGTAAAAAAATTTGACCAAAAGATTCAGAGTTATAAGCAATTTAAAAAAAAAATTTTGTCAGAGTTGATCATGTGGGTGCCAGAGTTGGGCCACTGTAGAAAATCAATGAAATATTTAGGTAAATGATTAAAAATGACCTTTAAATGATAGAATGACACTTGGCAATGAGGAAAGGAACCATGAAATTAAAATTAAATCCCATATTATGCATTTTCATATAACTTTAGATAATTTATTCCTCATGAACGAAATACAAAATTGAAAAAATGAAAAAAGGTTATCAAAAAATTTTTTTTTCTCTTTCCAATAGAAATGAAGTTTTTAACACCTCTTTAAGTGAAAAAATGAATTTCTGTTGCAAGTACGCTTTGTAATTGCAAAATTTCCCTCATGGCTCAACTCTGACACAGGCACGCGTTTTGCGTCATATTGCACAGAACACAAACGCGTGACACGAACACCAAAATACACGGAGAGACCCACATTTGTAAAAGTTACAAAAATGCATTGGAAGCCTCCTATGGTATTTTTATTAGTTGCAGATGCTGGCAATGCGTCCTTGATAATTCCTGGAATGGTAGATCGACATTGTAATTACTGGATTAGTGGTGATGCACTTGTCACATTGGGTGTTGATAAATAATTTTTTTGAGTGGCCCAAAGACCGAGCGGTCTAATGGTTGTAGTTTGTGTGAGCAATGTGGCGGCATTGATAGAACGATGATTCCATTTTCTTTACAATAATCTAATCCCCGAATGGATAAATGAGACTTATGATTATCCACACTGCTGAGAGACCTTTGGGTCAGCAGCAGACTTTCGATAGGCTGCTACTGAACATTTTGGTGGAACGCTACAGGACTATACTTTTGGGTTGCTGCGGTACAATTTTAGGCGCGTGACAGTCCAAAAGTTGTTCAGCTGCAAACCAAAGGCGGCATTCCCACTACTTCGGTGTCCGCTACGTTGTTCCGCTACAGTCCAAAAGGTCTCTCAGTGCAGTATTAAAAGTACTGAATTTTCAAACGCATTCATTTATATAAGAAAGGTGTTTTCGAATTTCTTACGTGGAAATATGGAGAAGGGTGGAATTAAATTGCCAGTTGCTGATACAGTCACTGATGCATTGTGCATTCAGCGCCAAAAACATTTGAAGCAACGGTCAACACCTTCCTCAATTTTTCCAATCTTTGCTCTCATTTAGATTTCAAATCAGTAGTAGTCTATAAAATAAGAAGTAATTATAATTAGTGTAATTGTAACAAGTGTAATTATAAAAGGAAAAATTAAATTGAGATTAACCGGAACTCTATATAGATACATAAATCCTTCAGCTATCTCAGGTTTTCCAGCTCAGGTGTTTCCACATTTTTTTCTGCAATCAAATAATATGTTCGGATTGTAAATGTTTAATTGTATAAAAATACGAATTAAGTACTGATTATGTATAATTAGCTTAAGCAATTCTAATGATCATTACTTTTACAGAAATATTATTTTTGTTATTTTATTTTTGAAATATTGAAAATTTCAATGTACGCATCTAAATTGAATTTGTTAAGCAAATTTTCCGCACTATTAATACTACTATTTTCTTCCATGTTTAAATCTGAGGATTAAAAAAAGGTTCTCATAAATTTCTTGTAATAAGTGTCTACCATAATTGACATTTACATAAGTAATTATTTAATTTATTTATTTTCATTTACCAAAGTTATAGAAGAGAAACTACCGATTTTTGTGTGAAATTTGTTATTATATAAAAAAATAATTCTGGGATGGAATAAAAAGTAAAGAGTTTAGATAAAATAATTCATAATTTGGATAACAGAGGGTTCGATTGATACAAGTTGGATAAGGTTCAGAATTCGTAAAATTTTCACAGAAAATAAATAGTATTTTTTTAAAATCGAAATGTTGAAAAATCATTTCTATTTGGCCTTAAGAATGTGTCCACCAAAAAACAGAAAAAAAATTATTTTTTATAAAAGTTATTGCAAAATTAATTTTTTTGCAACTTTTTAAACAAAATTTTATTTCTTCTAAATGAATGAACCGATTTAAATGAACCAAGCGGAAATATAAAGGGGATAAAATATACTTTCGTTCAGAATTAGAAAATTTTTAAAAAGTTTATTTTTTAATAATTATTTAATAAATTTTTTATGAACAATTAATTTTTTTTATGTTCTACGCCTTTTAAAAATTTGAAAAATATTAACATACACTTAAAACTATAAGAAATTAAAATCCGTTGAGAAAATTTAGGAGCGACAATTATTTTAAAAGTTATAATGAAAATTATATTAGCGCGGTGTAGTGCATCAACGCTGAACTTAGTTTTTGATCATTTTTATCAATTTTTATGGTTATATAATTGAATAAAAATGTTAATTTGACAGTGTTTTATTCATTTCTTAGTTAAAAATAATGTTTTAATTCTGAAAATCATCAAAATCGCATCTCCGTTCAATATAATTTTCATTATAACTTTCAAAATAATTGTCGCTCCTAAATTTTCTCAACGGATTTTGATTTCTTATAGTTTTAAGTGCATGTTAATATTTTTTTCAAAATTTTAAAAGGCGCAGAACATTAAAAAAAATTAATTGTTTATAAAAAATTTATTAAATAATTATTAAAAATAAACTTTTTAAAAATTTTCTGAATCTAAACGAAATTAAATTTTATTCCCTTTATATTCCCGCTTGGTTCATTTAAATCGGTTCATTCATTTAGGAGAAATAAAATTTTGTTTAAAAAGTTGCAAAAAAATTAATTTTGCAATAACTTTTATAAAAAATAATTTTTTTTTTCTGTTTTTTGGTGGACACATTTTTAAGGCCAAATAGAAATGATTTTTCGACATTTCGATTTTAAAAAAATAATTTTTATTTTCTGTGAAAATTTCACAAATTCTGACCCATAACTGATTTTTCACAATATTTAAATATCATTAATGATTATATTTAATTACGAACTTATAATTATATACATTATTTATTTGGACATTAATTTCTAGGTACATTTTCGAGACTTTGAAAGTAATATCTTCAAGAAAGATTGATATAAAAAATGAATTGATTGACAAAGTTATATCATGTGTCAAAATATTGGATCCAGACAATTCTAAAGAAGAAGCAACAATGGCTTTGAATATAATTTTCATTTCGTTGTCAAAGTAAAGTCTATGATTTGAAGTTTTTTTGTATTCATACTTTTAAATAGTTGTGATTAATTTCTTGTGGAAGTGTATAATTATAGAAAATATTTTTTCAGAGAACTTAAATTGAACAAAAGTCAGGGTATGTCATTAATTGTAAAACATGCAGCGAAGTTACTGAATTTTCTAAATCAAACAACCTTTGAATTGAGTTCTTTACTCACTGCAGCCAAGTTGTTTAATTATGTTATTAGATACAGCAATTTAGATTTTCAACTGACATATTTTCCATTAATACAGAAGATTTATTTGCAAGCTATGGAATATTTACTTGAATTTAAAGATAACTCTTATTTGGAGAGGATAAGAACTGCTTGCTGTATTTCTATTTCATTTTCTAAGTATTTATTCTTTTATTAATTATCTTAAGAAAGACACTACCTACAAAATTTAAGAAAACTTAGACTTTTATATCATAGAATTTTTATTAAAAATGAAAATTTATCTATGCAATTCATAACTAAAAATAATAATTTGTTTGAAGGATAATTATACTTTACTTGTAGTTAATTTATGATTATAAAAATGTGTTTATATTTTAGTATATTTGGTCAAATTGAACTAATTGAGGAACAACTTGGAAAAAAAATTTACGCTATAATTAAACAAACTGCAATGAAAAATGTTGTCCCAATATTAAAGGCAAGAAATGTTAAATGTTTTTATTGATAATTTAACTACTCTCTGAAACTGAAATTCAGTGAAATTTGACTGATTTTCAGTGGTGTAAATCTACAATTTACTGTTCGAAAAAATAATCTACAACCCACAGATTTTGACGAAAACTCGCGAATTTTTTTTAGAAACATCCAAAAATAAATTTTTAAGTAACTTAAGGAATCACTTTTTTAGAATTTTTATTATTTTTATTTTAATGCAAATAAGAAATAAATGAAGACTTTATTATAGTACTTCTTCTCATTGCTTAAGAAAAAAAATTTATTATGCTCAATACAGCTTTAATTTAATCTAATAAAGAAATTCTTTTGCCTAAGGGGCCATCCATAAACTAAGTTACCAATTTAGGGGGCAGTGGGTCCAAAAATTGAAATTTTTACATGTAACGCAATGGTAACGAGGGGGGAGGGGGTCTTAAAAGTCTGAAAAATTGGTAACGTAGTTTATGGACGGCCCCTAATAAATGAGGAGAAAAACTACTAAAGTCTTCATTTATTTGATATTTGCATTAAAATAAAAACAATTAACATTCGAAATTCAAAAAAGTGCTTCCTTAAGTTTCATAATATTTTCAGTCACACTTATTGAAAATTTGAGTAAAAATAATCAGTGAAAAATGCGACTAATATTTTCAGTAATTTTTAACATATTTTCAGTAAAATTTGATCAATTGAAATCGTGGAAATAGGTCGCTGATTCTCAACCAATATTCACTGATCTTCAGTGGAATTTCACTGATTCAGATTTAGACAGTATTAAAAATTTGAATTCTTTCATTTCAGGATGGGAGTTTTGATATTGAGTATGCAGAAGATTTCATTGACTTTTTATATTTGTCAATAAATCTGAAATTCAACAATAACTATGAAATTTGCTTTAATCTCATTGAAAATAGTTATTTAAAAATGTTATTAAATCTATCCGTCTTTGAACCTGACAGGTAAAATACTATCTTAAATGATTTCAATGTCTAATCTAATTTTAGACACTGTTGACATTAATTGTGACGTACGGTAACGACTTCTAAATGGCCCTTTATGGCCCTCTTACTTTAAAAAAGGTTGAATTTAACCTGAATTTTGACGTAAGAGAACCAGTTGTATGTCAAATATGTTTTCTCCTTTTGACCTACAGGTCAATATATTAACTTTTTTCTTTACAAATGTTTAACGTGAAACATTCGTGAACATTTAAATTTAATTTTCGCCTTAATCAATTGAGGCGACTAAATAGCTCAGCTACAGATAATTTTTTTAATTTTCATTTCGTCGACCTTAAACGTTGGTAATTTTAGCTTTTGTTTGCAGGATTGACTTCAGGAAGAAAGTATGTAGGTTGATATCCAAAATAATAGTGTCACTGAATGACTACTTTCAGTTTCCTTTAAGTGACTGGAAGGGAGGTTCAGTTGCATTTCAGAACTTTCTCTCAACTGGCTTGGAACATTTACCATATGATTCGTCAAAGTGGGAGGAAAATTTGAAAATTTCAAACGAAAGATCCAATTCTTTACTAGTTTTGCTTTATTGTCACTTTATAGCTACAGAAGAGTAATTTTGCCTTTAAATATTAAATTTTTATCAAATACATCAAAAAGCTTGTCCTATATAGAGTGATCCAAAGAAAGTAAACATTCTTTTGCTCTTTACTCCTAGCATTAAAGTTTATCGATAAACTTTTACAACTGTTTTTTTAATAAAACAATATTAAACTGTGCCTCAAAGCCCTTCAATTTTTTCATGTATTTTAATTGAAAAAAAAACCTTTTTTGTAAATTTTATATAAAATCTACAAAAACCAATATTTTTCAATCGCACTCTGATCTGGGAGCCTAACAATGTTATTTATATTTATTTTGTTAATCATTCAAGTGGATTTCATTTTTTGAATATTTCTTAAGGGAAATATCATGGTTCAATTTAAAATTATAGGTTAATTTCTAGATTTTATATAAAAACTGCGAATAATGGCGCTCTTGTGCTTTGGAATAAAAGGTATTGTAAGTAACACGGGGCCAAAGCAGCCAAATTGTTTATGTTGACGTTTTCTACACGGAGAAACTTTAATACCACTATTTCATAAAACTGATTAGATTAGATTCTACGGAAAAACGAATATAATAGGTTATAGAAATTGCTATTGAGACTATCAAATACACGCATTTAGTATATATTTTACAGTTCTTCATAAGGAGACTAACGAAAATTAGTATGTTGTTAAAATTTTTTTTTTTTAATAGTCTTACTAAAATGCTAGAAGAACTAAAAAATGTGAAATAAACAATTTATCGACGCCTCACAGTGGTCTGAAACTCGATTCTAGAGGTGGACAAAAATCGAAATATCGAAGTCTTTAAATACATATTTTTAGTGGTTTTTATATTCAATGACATCTAAAGCATGTTTTCTCATATTTAAACCGCTAAAAAAATTTTATGAAGCTGTGAGAATATATAAAACGTCATGAGGTAAGCATAGCTGGCTTTACCGTGAAAATAAATACAATAATTAAATGCATCTAGTTATTTTAAATCGTCATATTTAAACAAAATAAATATCAGTCTGAAAGTTCAATATGTATACTGTAAGACAGTGTATCATTTACATTTTTATTGACAATGCTTATATTTTAAAACAGCCCTTAAATGTAAGTGCTGCGTAGGGGAGAGTGGGGCAAAGGCGCTAGGTTTACATTTATCGATGTATATTTTTTAAATTAAGCAATTAATTTATGTAGTCTTTGTTTTTCATTATTCTAAAACTAATCAACAAGAAATTTTAATAGTTGTTACATTATTTAATGAAATTTAAAAACAATGCAAAAAATGCCTTTGCCCCACACACTGGGGCAGCGACGTTTTCGCTTATATTTCTAAAAGAAAGCATTTATAAGCCTTAAAAAGTTAACAAGTGATATTTATTAGTATAATATTTACGAAACATAAGGTTAACAACATATTATTAAAAGAATTAAATTATTTAAATAAAAAATAAAAACTTTTAGTGATTTTAACTTTATATTGTGAATTAATACATAGAAAATTCGAATATTCAATTGTTTTTAACCAAATTATATTCAATATTGCCTTTGCCCCACATGACAAACTTTTTTTTTACTTTAAATTTAAAATATTTAGATACAAAATTAAACTGAAACACCACGCTAGTTGTGTAGAGAAATATTTAATGTATTTACATGTTACGATTTTAAAAATTAAATACTTAAACTTATGTTTTAAAAAATAAAAGTTTGTTCAGTAAAATTATCATTTTATTTTTGCAAAACAATTTTTTTATTATATTTCTTAAAATATTTGATATTTTTAGGTTTTTCATTTTTTAATCAGTTGGTCTGATTGCATTGCAACTTAATTTTTAATACCAATTGGAATAGACAGAAAATAAAGGTGATATTTTAAAAAACGTCTTTACCCCGCATAGCGTCTTTGCCCCACTCTCCCCTACTTGTTCATGACAAAATTCAAAGTGACGAAAGTTAATTATTTCGAAAAGTGATTTATTGGGAAATGTTCATTAAGACGTTACCTTTCAGTAGCCACAAACACCTTCTGCCACTTTTCGATTTTCTCGTATTTAAAATGTGCACCACTCCTCAAAAGTGGTCTGAACAGCGAATCTAGCTGGACAAAAACAAGTTTATCAAATTTACTATAATGGAATTTTACAGCACAACGTTTCTAACATTTTCTGGGGTTACTGATTAGGTATTTGGAGTCAGTTGTTAAACATTCAAAATGGCGGATTCAATATGGCGACCGAAAAGGTAAAAACCGCTGCCAAGTTGAATATTTTTTTTTATAATTTTGGTGCTCATTTCATTAACACTTTTCTTCCTCATAGAGATAAAAATAATAGAAATATATGAATAACTTTTTATAAATATGGTAAAAGTGATTGAATTTTGGGTCAATCAATGTATTTTTAAATACCCTACAAGATAGTCACAATAATTTAATAGTTAAACAAAAGTTTTCAAACAAAAATGTTGAGAAAATGTCATTCTTCACAATTTTTTGGTTTTTAAAATACCATTAATTTCGAAATTTATTATCAAATTAGGTTAAAAAATAGGTCAATCGAAGCATTTTTTTAATGCTCTACAAGTAGGTAACGATAGTTTTAAAGTTACTTGTACATTTTTCAATAAAATTTTTAAAAAAGTATTATTTTCCAAAATTTTTTATTTTTAGAAGTTTATTATCTCCGGTTAAAATGGACGAAAAATGTTCAATTAGGGCTCAAAAGATTCGTCTAAAAAAACTATACAAAATTATGGAAAAACATTTATAGGTATTCTAACATTTTTTCAAAGTTATGGCCAAAAAACGTTTTTTTTTGCAAAATTAAAAATCCAAAAAAAATTTAGTTAAACTGTATTAATCTATTACAAAGTACTCTCACTTTATGTCCGCAGGTGAGATCTACAATTAAAAAAAATTCAACCCAAAAGCTCTTCATGATTTCGAGATATTTATGAAAATGTGATGTTTACACACACACACATACACACATACGGAATGTCATTTTTAAAAAATGTCATTTTTGAACTCCTGAGGTCAAATAACATAAAGATATGTCAAAAAATCGAACTCGAAAAATTGTGGTATTACAATACTTCCTCTATGAGGAAGTTAAAATCAATTAGATTTGCTTGAAATTTGACACTTAAGGGTTTTTATGGTGGTTTGTTACAAATCTACAATTAGTTTATGTATGGGGCAAAATTCCTCACCTGACCAGGTCAACAAATTTATGTTGTTGAATTTTCTTGAAACTTTGCCAAAATGTTACTATTATTTGTGGAAGTGTAAATATAAATTATTATTGAATTTGATATAATATTTTTTGAGTTACGGAATTTCAAAATTTTGACTTTTTAGAAAATATATTTTTTTCGATTTAATATATTGATAAGTAAAATTAATCAAATTAAAGTGTGAAAAGTGATTTTAAAGGGTTTTTCAAGAGTTACAAGCTGGTGATGAAAAAAATCGATTTCTTTCAATTTGACTTTGAAATTCAAGGTCAAATTCTTAATTTCAATATATCTCAAAATAGTTTTCTTTATTTTTTCTAACCTACCTCAATAGAAAGGTTAAATAAGAAAGAAATAAATGTTGAAAAAACACGCAAAAGTGGTGTACGTTCCCCTTAAACATTAGGTATAAATTTTGTATTTCGGAAACCTAGATATTAATCAAAATTCACTTCAAGTATTCTTTTTTATTGCTCTCTTAATTTGAATCAGTTAAAAATCGTGCTTTTAACTGACAATCAGTTATTTTTAACTAATTGTCAGTAGAAATATTACTATTTGAATTAGTGACTGACTAATTAGTTATTTTTAACTGATTCAAATTTAGAGAGTGCTTTGTTTTTTTTTCTTTGTGCTTATTCTCGAAAATAAAATTTAGAATAGATTAGACTGGATGAAATGCAATACATATTTGAAAAGAGATATGATAGTCTTTTAAAAAACTACTTTGAAACATGCGAGATCATCATCGAATTTAAGTTAATGTACCTGAAAATAGATAACAAACACTCAAAAAAATTATTTCTTGTAGAATAACAAAATGATGAACCAGGGAATTATTCAAAAAAATGATAAGAATAACAGTGGACGTGATTACTAGAGACCCAGGGATCAACGATCTGCTAGAAGGGAGGGCTCTCCTCGACCAGGTCCCTCAACCAGGACCATCAACGAGAAAATTGGAAAAGAGGGCGTTAACCCTGAAAATTCAATCGAGAGAATAGTGAGGATTACACAACAATTATCAAACAGACTCGATAAAACAATACCAGCTCTGTCAATCATAAGTCATCATCTAGTCTTTCCCCGGTCTATAGATACGAATACCTTGTCATGAAGGAATGCTTTCTACACAATCTCTCTAAAATGGATGCAATAAATAATCTTAGTCAAATCTCATCTTTATGATGAGACCTACACTACCGTCCACGAGTATCAGGACGATTACACGCGACTCTATAAAAAACATGCCATCACTTTTTCAATCATATCTCGGAAATTAAAGGAGATATAATAAATTAAAATTAATCCGGATAGAGATACAAATTTATCATTTATTAATATTATTTAATATTAATAGTAATATTATTAGTAATTTTTACTAATTGTTTAAGATTAATTCGGATAGAGATACAAATTTATCATTTATTAATATTATTTTTATATTCTTCTATTAAACTGTAAAATTCACTAAAATAACTAATTTTCTAATTGACTCAGTGGAGAAACAAAAATATCTAATTATATTATCTAATTATATTACTTTATTTTCATTATTATACTACAACGGTATTTACATCTATACCGAACTTAAACTTTTGAAGCGCCAACCTTCATAATGTATCTGTTTTTATATGTTACAAATGTAACTCTTAGAATTAGGAAGTACGTAATGTACGAAAGGGCATGTCCCGTTATGTTATTAAATAAATAAATAAATAAATAATAAAATTATAAATACGGTTAGAAAGCTGATTAAATTTTGCGTAAAATA